CACCATGATGCAGTCCAACTACACTAATCCCTGTACCTTCACGCTATTGGTTGTAGCGTCTGCAGTAAAATTCTTTTTATTTCTGTGGTCATGGGAATCGAACCTGCGACCTCACCATACTCAGGCTTAATGAGGGTCTCAGTGACTAACCACCAAGATAGGGTGACCAACCCCCGTTTTATCCTTTTCCGATCACTGGCTGATGAGTTATTCAACAAAATGTTAAGCATCGGCATTATTATATTTCTTGATTTACGTTTACTGCGCCATTTAACATTTTGCTAAATATCTCGGTACCTAGTGATTGTAAAAAGACGATTAATAGCTCGTTGGAATCGCCTCATCAAGACGAATCGAATGGTGGTAAGCTCATCTCTCTATGATCAATATTGACGGAGTTACTACTTAAAAACTATTTAATTTTTTTTAATTTCGGAAATTGATCTAGTGATTGGATTTCGATGTATTTTATACCATTAGATTCGTCGCATCAAGACGAATCGAAGGGTAGTAAGATCGTCTCTCTAGGATCAATATTGGCAGAGTTATTACACAAAAACCATTAATATTTTTTTAATTTCGGAAATTAATCTAGTGATTGGATTTCGATGTATTTTATACCATTAGAACCGTCTCATCAAGGCGAATCAAATGGCGGTACGATCATCTCTCTACGATTAATATTGGAGGAGTTACAATACAATAAAGTTTTAAGTATAATTTTGGCCAAAATTATGTTAATTTTTGGCCGGAATTATGATATACTAATATAAGAAATTTTTTATATAGTCACATCTCTTTATAATCACCAAATATGGACTGTCCCAAATGTGTGACTATAAAGAGAGTTGACTGTAGATCCAATCAAGTCATTTTTAACGAGCGAATAAGAGATCCTTATAAGGTTTATACTGGCATTGATCAAGGTGAATCTATTTGCCCTCTCTTATGAGTTATCTATTATGATCTGATGTTTGAAGCTATCAACGAATCACCATATAAGGGTATTGATTACACAGCATGAATACCCAAAACATGCTTTTTTCCGGTACCTCCTAATCAACAAAACATTGATTATATTGAAGAATCACTTTCTCTCAAAGTGTTAGGTTATCTTGATGATACTACATGGTTAGCTGAAAATTTAAATCAACTTAAACATAACTTGAAGATTGCGGATAACTTTTACCAATTGGCTAATATTCTCATTAACAAAGAGAAAACTATTATTTTAGCCAATAGACACGCCAGGAAAAAATTAACAACAGATTCATCAAGGTCTATTACACATATTGAAATTGAATTTGGATCAAAAATTAAAGTCCCGGTACTTTCCAAAAACAAAGCTACACGTATTTTGGGCGTTCATTTTAATATTGATGATTGTCACATAAACAGTATTAAGAAAATTTACAATTCAATTAGATACGTTACCATGCTTATCAAAAAGAAAAAACTTACGTATGATCACGTGATTTATGTGATTAACAAAGTTATTATACTGAGGATTGAATATTTCTCACAACATTTTATTCTTTCCACAAACCAATGTAATAAAATTAACATTCATTTACGCTCCACTTTAAAACAATCTTTATCCCTCTCTAAAAGCACTTTTAATACTGTTTTTCACAGTTTAATTTATCTGCATATAATTAATTTTTTCGATCACCAATTAAAAGTTCAGTCATCTTTATTAATTGCGCAAGCAAATTGTCCTCACACTTCAAATACTTTAAAATTTTTATTTTTGCTTACTCAACAAAAATATTTCTTACCTAATTCACCTATTAATTTTTTTGATTTATTTGAACAACCTTTAAAATATTTTTCTCGAATTGAATCTTTGTTAACTTTCTTTAAATTTTACAATCTTTCCCTTTCTTCAAATTTTAAATTTACTACTAACACTGGTAAAAAAGTGATTTATCCTACACATATCTTACACATATTGGGTACTAAAAATGTAGAAAATCATACACAAATAATACACATATCATACACATATCGGGTACTAATATATATATCATACATATATCAGGTACCTGATAGGTATACTATATATATAAGTACCTGATATGTGTATGATATGTGTATTATTTGTGTATGATTTTCTACATTTTGAGTACCCGATATATGTAAGATATGTGTAGGATATGTGTAGGATAGACCATTTTTTTACCAGTGTAAAGGTGGTAATTTTCCTATAGCACATTATGTTATTGATCCTAATTATTTGTTCGCTCACCTTAATAGTCTTAGGACTAAAGGTATTATGTTTTTAGACCATATCATTACTAAAGATAATGCTTATTTAGTAGAATATAACGAAATTAAAGCTCAACTGGAACACAAAGGTGGTAAAATCCCAAGATGGTACCAATTTTTAAAAGATAACATTATTACGATTAACAATCAAGGAAGATTAATGTTCAATTTGGATAAACCCATTATACAAAACCCTACCACACCGCGTCCTACCGTTCTACCAGTCTTTATGAAACCTCACATACATCATAAGCGTTCTCAACAATAGGTCACTGCTTGGGTTCTACACCTTAATGATATAATTTATAGCAAACTATTGAGCACTACTCATTTTCCAGATTGCACGCCTGTTTCTTATGTGAAACATTAGATTCATCAAAACATTTCACCATCATCTAATGACAATACTCTCGTTCTACTCCTAACACTATTGTTCGGTATTCTGGATGTTCCTCACACTACAGCTATTATGTTGGAGATATGAGACCTAAATGTATCGTTCAGATTAAATTTAAAAACTTAATTTTAACTACTTGTCTGGGCAAAAAGAAAAAATCAGAGTTATGTTGTTCGCCTACCTGGTTGCTTAATTCATTTCAATTATTAAAGTATAATCACCCCATTATAGATTATTGGCTTATAATGATTTTTTGGTCCAACGTGGTCATAGTTCAACAATAGACTTTCGTCCAGTGGGAATTTCCCAAGAGCATAATAAACATATTAGAATTAACTCTAGACTAATTAATTCGCTATTCTACAATCAGGAACATAAAACTGAATTGTCAAATATTGCTCATGGTCTTTCTGAATTCTTATTGTTAGATTTTTATACAGATGGCTTATTTGATGCTAATACGACAGAAGGTGGTTTTCCTATGGGATATGGTTGGACGACATCCAACTTAACTACTGTTAATTTTACTTATAACGGATCTATTCAATATTTTCCTTCCTTGACCAAGGCTGAAACCATGGCAATTCTAATGTATCTTGCAGTATGTCCGCCATCTTGCAGAGTTCGAATATTTACAGATTCACAAGCAGCAATTGATACTTTTCACAAATCTAAAAATCTTTCTTCAATTTCTCCACGAAGATTTAACAAAATTAATAACAATATCCTATGGTCTTCCATTCACCACTTAATTTAGGAATTAAAATTAGTCGTTTGTTTTATTAAAGTTAAAGCACATTCAAATGATCATTATAATGACCGAGCTGATGCACTAGCCAAAGTAGGTCTTCTTCAACCAATACCTACTCAGATCATTTAGGATCATTTACCTCATCAAACCCTAACTCTTAAATGGAACAATAACATCCCTTTAGATAAGGATGTACGTAAATGTGTAGGCACTATACTAAATTATAGAAGAATTGAAACTCACCTTAATCACCAATCACTTGGACCAATTAAACAAGCTACCAAAGATAATCTCATTGATTGGTCTTTATCTGCTAAATGGTTTGATTATAATGGAAGAAATGATACGACTACGATCGCACACTCCAAAGATACTAAGTGGAAAATTAGATGCTCTACTTTTTCTTTACCAACTAAAGATATCCTACACCAAAACTTTCCGTTACTTTTACCTGCGGATAAACTTAATTGTTTTTTCTGTAATAATATCCTAGAAACGAACGATCATTTTTGGACATGTCTTCAACTGCGAACTACAATTGTTAATATCTTCAAGAAGCTGGGACAGGACTTGATTGATATACTTGCTAATAATGCGGACAAGCATCCTTTATTAATTAATGATTCAATTAAATATTCCAAAACGTTCAGATGGGCTTTTCAGAATGAACCTATTCATCCGGTAGTGCTACTATTAATGAGATCTTACATCACACGTGATCTGGTTGGAATTTTTCGATCACATTTCAATACCACCAAAGCTATTACCACCTTTTATTACCATTCTTCCATCATTGTAGTTTAATCTTTAAAACTGACCTATGGAAACCTTGTAATGAAAAATGGAAGGTTCTTCGTCAAGAATTAAACCTTACAAAAAAATCTTTTGTGGATTATCGCAAAAACAATAGGTCCAACCGTTCAGATACTCACGAAAATACTCTACTAATCTCCGACCATAACCCCCGGAAGAGAAAATTTATTGTTTATTCCAATCCTTTTTGTAATAATTTTTGGAACTTTAAACTAGAAAAAGATTTTTTGTTTATTTTATTCACTTCTTCAAATTTTTTACATAGTGGTCCTTTTTTTAATCATTTAGACAGAACTGATATAATTAACTATTCTTCACCTGTTTGTACGTTGAACTATTCTATTTATAATGTGTAGATTGCCACAACTTCTTATAATTATATATTCATATTCGTTATGGTTCCTTTTTTTTTTATTTTTTTTGGATGTTCCTTATCCTTACGTTGGCCGTAGCGGTAGGATAAGCTATGGCCCTTTTATATAATTAGAAGTTAGGGTCCTTCCTTGAGCTTTTACTGGTTCCTGGCGGGATGATGACAAGAATTAGGATCGTACTCCGATGGGAGTTTATCCTGTTTATTTGGCTGTCCGGCTTCACATAAAATAAATAAATAAATAAATTGCGCAGAAAAAAAGAATTAATCACATGGCGCAGTAGTCAGCAAATTAGCCATGTTTTTTTTATAAAAAGTAGTGCATTTAGTTCTTACGCTTTTAAAGCTAACTGGCCAAGCGGTTCGCAAGCTGGACCTTCATCTTTAGAAGAGGTTCTTACCAACGAAGTTACTACCTGTTGATGAAATGTGTGTGCTGAGTTTTGGTTCTTTTTGAGCTCCCTACCTTTATTTGTCTCTGTCATTATTTTTAGTCCTCCCTCTACCTAGTATATATTTTGGTTTATTCTTTCTGTCGTTACCTTTATTTTATTTTCGTTATTTTCTTTTTTCCTGCGCCACGTTCCTGCACATTTTGGAAATTTGAATTCGAAATACTATTTTCTATGACGTTTGGCAAAAAAGACTTAGCAGTAAATATTAAAATAAAAGTGTTACACTAACTGCAGATGCTTTATTAATATATGTTTGAAAATACATGTGTAAGAAATACTATTTTTCTAATGGTAGAGTCTGGACACCGTGTCCGGGCTCGGCAAAAATGCGCAGGACATTAACGAAGTTTCTGTTTTAAGACTTCGGCCATTACATAATCCTTTTCATCCTTAGTTAGATTTAAGATGAAACCTGAGGTGTGGTTTTAATCCGCGCTATTTTTTCTTTACCTATGCCATTAAAAGTTTATACATCTTTTCAGATTTCACTGTCCTATTTCGCAAGCCAGAAAAAAAAAATCACATGGCTAAAATTGGGTCTTCAATGCTGCCAGAAAAATATTTTCAATCCTATCTTTTGAGACTAGGGCATATGTAATTATATTTTTTACACGTTTATTTGTAACAGTGAATCACACGTAGCATACACATTATTTTTGAAATGCACAAATAACCCATTAATAGCAAACATAAATTGAAAAAAGTGCACATCATCCTTAATCGACACACAATATAAAGACCAAATCAGTGATGCTTCTTTTTCGAGCTCTTCTTCTTTTTCGAACTCTTTCTCTTGTCTTTTTCTGCAACAGGATAGGTATAGTATTCGTTTGGTGAATCTGGAAGAAAAGAAAATAATTATAAAAAATAAGATAACAAAGAATGAGCAGAATCTTCACATACCATCTTCAAATTCAACAATAGTCCCATCGAATTCCAAACCCCATACTATACTGCTAGTCCGGGATTCTTTTGTTGTCAAATTCCAATAATCCCCAAGTGGCCATAATACATCGCTCATAGAGTCCCAATCAAACACGCGACCAAAACAGTCTAGAAAAAGAAGTCCACAGTAACGTTTCCCGATAATGATGATATGATCAAAACCAAACTGTTTAACATCTCGCATATAACATATAGGAGGATCTCCACTTTCAAGATTACGGTTAATATAAGTTGCAACACGGCAACGATCTGATTCACTTGCGATCATATCAACTATCATTAGGGGATTGGTTGAACTATTGCGACACCCTCGAACTTCATCCTGCTTGCCACCCGCTGGCACTGGAGACATGGTTTCAGGAATATTTGCTCCTCTAGATTGAACGTTTGGGACAACAAGATGACACGGGGTCTTCGGTATTTCTTTCGTCCATGTAGTGCCTGCCAAGGTACCGATTCGGAGCAGTTGCCCCATTGATGACTGCAGAGTCTGGGTTCTTTCCTGATTAGGACAACATTCGATAATGCTGGTATAGCTTTCACTCTTGACTCCGCTATTGACCTGTTGTTGAAATATAACGTCCGTCTCTCCGATCTCTGTGTTGCTATTCCGCTGCGGACTGACGCTCCGAACATAAATAGTACAATCTTCCTTTTTTCCACCGAAAGCGTTAAATTCAATGTCGTTGGGCGACTCAACGCATTCTCCTCCATCATCTCCATTTTGTCGGTCAAGTTGATAAGCATTCTGGAAAGATATTTTTTCTTGTTTCGATAACTCATCTCCTCGAGGAAACTCATTCCCATGATGTAGTGCGTCCAAAGGAGACACACTACGTCCCACACCGTTATCATTAAAACTGGACGACAAAAAGGTGGCTGTACCATAATTCCCGCTGTACCGAATGGAATTACGGTTCCATTTGCCCTACATAAAATATGTATGATACGTTACATTCATTTTTTTTTTCTTTTGGAATAGTTGACCTTCTTCTGACATAGTATTAATATGGCTTGCTTCTCTTTGCTTAGTTCTTGGTTTATTTTCATATTTAATAGGTTAAAAATGAAGTTTTGGTTTTCCTTCAACATACCTGAATGGCATCACGAAATCTGCTATCAACTTTCTCGCCCATGGTTCTTTTAAAGTGTCTAACCAATAATAAGCGTATAGCCTTGAAAATGAAAATTATTAGTGCAAAAAAAAACGATTTGACGTTACGTAAAAATGTGTCATACTTTCGGATATACTTAGGAATATAAATATCATAAATATCCATAAAAGAAAAATTCGATACAGATCGAACAGATTGTGCAACGGAATTACTTGCTTTTAATGACTATATTGCGTAATAGATCTACAGAGTTACATCATAGTTACAGTAGAAATTCAGTCGTTAATACATATACAGTATCTGTCTATGGAATGCTAGGCTGGACAGAAGTTTAACGTTGAGAGTTAAACTGTTTGACGGTCAAGATTAACTGCGAAGTTTAAATGATTTGCTGTTATCATCAAACTATTTGACCTTACAGTCAAATTCTTTTGCCAATATCGTCAAACAGTTTAACTTTAAAATTATGTTACACAAAGTTTGCCAATAGGCAAAGTATTTGTGAATAGTTTGCTAAGATGGGCAAAGATTTAACATTAAAGTGCAAACAGTTGCCAATAGGCAAAGCATTTAATGCTAAAGTGCAAACGGTTTGCCAATAGGCAAAACATTTAATGTTAAAGTGCAAACAGTTTTCTAAGATAGGCAAAGCATTTAATACTAAAGTGCAAACAGTTTTCCAATAGGCAAAGTATTTAATGTTAAAGTGCAAACAGTTTGCTAAAGTGGGCAAAGCATTTAATGTTAAAGTGCAAACAGTTTGCCAATAGGCAAAGCATTTAATATTAAAGTGTAAACAGTTTTCTAAGGTAGGCAAAGCATTTAATACTATAAAGTATAAACAATTTGCCAAAAGGCAAAGAATTTAACATTAAAGTGCAGTTTACTAAGATGGGCAAAGCATTTAATGCTAAAGTGCAAACAGTTTACCAATAGGCAAAGTATTTGCTAAGGTAGGTAAAGAATTTTGTTGGAAAAATTTTTTTTTTAATAAAAGATTTTTTTTTTATAAAAATTTCATTAGAAGTTTTAATGGGATTTTTTTTGTTTTGAAAATTTTTAACAGAAAATTTATTGATAAAATATTTTTTTTAATAGTAAAGTTTTATAATAAAAAAATTTTATAAAGATTTTTTTCTTTTAATAAAAAAAAGTATAAAATAAAATGTTATAATAAAATTTTGCATATATAACCTTTTATATATTTTATTAATTTTATTTTTAATCTTTAATTTTAGATTTTTTAATTTATTTTTTTATTCAATTTTTAATTTTAATATTTGTTATTTTTTAATTTTCTTAAAGTGCAATTAGTTTGCTAAGATAAACAAAGCATTTATTTTTTTTATATAGAAACTTTTATTAGTAAATTTTTTGGTAAAGAATTTTGTTGGAGAAATTTTAATGGAATCTTTTATTTGAAGAGTTTTGAAAATTTTTTATAGAAAATAATATTTTTTTATTAGTAAAATTTTATAATAAAAAATGTATTGGTAAATTTTATTTTATAAAGATTTTTTTCTTTAAAAGAATTTAAAGTATAAAATAGAATATTATAATAAAATTTTGCATATATAACCTTTTATATATTTTACTAGAATTATTTTTGATCTTTAATTTTAGATTTTTTAATTTTATTTTTTTTTATCCAATTTTTAATTTTAATTTTATATAGTTTTTTTTAATTTTTTTTAAAATATAAATAGTTTATTAAGATAGAGAAAGCATTTATTTAGAATCCCAAACTAAAGCTCTGAACGGTTCCAGTTTTATCCAAAAACTGAACTGGAACTGAACTGAAAATCCGTTTCAGTTCTAAAAAATTTTAATCCAAAATTTCTGGTTCAATTCCAGTTCTGGTTCAGTTTATTTAATAATCCGACTTGAAAACCAAACTGGAAACTGGTGGAACTGATGAAATTTTTTTTTTTTAAAAAAAAAAAAAAAAATTTATATTACTTCTCTACTCTTTCCCTTCAGCGGCTTCACGAAAAGCTGAAAGAAAGGCTTTTTTTTACTTCTTTAATTCTTCATTTAAAATAACTAGTCTATAGTAGACTTTCACTAATCAAGAAAGGGTTCTACATCTGAAATAAAATGTTTCAAACCTTTATATTCGACCACTGAGCTTCACATTAATAATTAATCAGCATTGCAATAATTCTTATAAGAATGCAAATAATGTGTATACTATGTCATATCTTCAAAATATCTTACAAGATATTTTTCTGTCCTTCCTAAGCTTTAGTTGGTTTTCAAAGCATGGTAGGCTTAAATATTGTTTTTTTTATTTTATTTCTTATTTTCCTTTGCTAATGTACGTTCTTTTCTTCTTTTAGGTCTTAGTTTCTTTGCAAATGTAGTTGTTTCTTTTTTAAATAAACAGAATCTAAGCGAAAAAGATTTTTTAAGCGAGTGTAAAGAATCAAGGAGTGTGTCTTTAAGTTTTGGTACGTTAAGCTACAAAAATTTGTAAAAAAGATATATATAATTATACTGGAACTTAACGAGTATATAACGAAGAAAAAAAAAAGAAACTACTCCTTATATTAACCCCTAATTTCGTCTTCAAGAACTCGATTACTTCAGTTCTTTAATTCTCTATATACGGAAAGGTGGCCTTTAATTTTTTTTTTCTTTTATTGCTTGTTCCCTTGCTAATGTACATTTTTTTCTTCTTTTTAGGTCTCAGTCTTTGCAGTTCTTCACAATAATAATAAAAAAAAATTTTCTTTCTCGTCCTCCTTTACTATCCCTTTCCTTCAATTTTAAGTTCTTGTGAAAGGCAAGTGTTTTTTACTTTTGATTCTTTTTTTGGTTTCCTTTCCATTATTTTTGCTGATTTTGTTTTCTCTTTTTTTTTTAGATTTTCAGTAAGATCAGTGTTTCTCTTTTCATTTTTATGTAGTTTCTTCATTCTAATTTTACCCTTTCTTTAGGTTCTTGGTTCCTTGCAGCTCTTCATAAAAGGCAGGTGTTGTATATCTTTTTTTTTGTTTTTTTTTCGTTCATTCTCCTTTACTAATTTCATCCATTTTTTATTTAGGTATTCGGTTCTTTGCAGTTTTTTATGGGCAAGCAATGGTTAGAATTATTCTTTTTGCTTCTTTCATTCTTCATTCCTTGTTAATTTCGTTCTTCTCTCCTTTAGGTTTTCAGTTCTTGCTGCTCTTCGCAAAAAGGTATGTGTTTAGAAAAGTTTTTTGTTTTTTTTCATTTCTTTCATTTTCATTTTCTAATTTCATCCTTTTTTCTTCAAGTATTCTGTTCTTTGCGAGTAAGAAAATTTTGTAACGCAAAACAATTTGAGGAAGATAGAGATAAAGGGAAGTTTAAGGTGGATGACGAATCAGTAGAAAAAGTAGTGGAAGTTATAAATGATTTGAGATCAGAAAATCAATCAACTTCCACGCAACAAAGTATTGATACGGGATCAGAGAACTACCCCAACAGCACCCAGAAAAATTCTTCAATCACGTGATATTGTGGCACATATGTGGCACATATTCTTATCATTAATTGGATAAACAAATAATTATACTGTATATCGATCATATCAATCATCTTTTTTTTCTCACAAAATATAATACGTTAAAAAAAATATAACCCGTCTTAAAAGTTAAAATTTGAAGATTCAAAAGGTATGTATACGCGTATATTATGGTTTTTTTTTATATTTATGTATTTAACAACATAAAATATATAATTACGTGTATATTATATTTTTTTTATTTTTTTATTTATAATTATGTATTTAACAACATAAAATATGCAATAAAGATGACTTCTATCAGTAAAAAACAATGTTCTAAATGTTATCAGCATTTTGATACAAATTTTTTTACAAGTAAAACTGGACGTGATTTAAAAACATATATTAATTGTCAAGAACAAGCAGCTACTGTTTATCGGACTCATTATCTTAATGATAAAGATCAGCTAGAACAATTATATTGGAATAATGTTAAAAAAAAGCTCTATGATAAAATTGTTGAAATTGGGAGTAATGAATACTTGGAAAATAAGGAAAATGGTGTTCTTTTTTCATGTATTCTTATAATAAAAAATGAATTATTAAAAGAAGAGCCATGTAATATTTCTAAACAAGTCGCAAAATTAGTGGAACAAGCAGATGGCTATTATTATATGTGAGTGTTTTTATTACTAATATTATACTAAAATAATAATTACTATTATATTTATTAATTATTATTATACTTTTATATAGTTACAAAGATCACTATTTATCAAAAAAATCTGACGGAATTTATACTTATTGGTATTATTGCTCTCAATGTCAACAATTAGCAAAAAAACCTCGTAAAAATGAAGATCTGAATAAACAAAGAGATCGTGAATATATAAAACGTTTTGACTGTAATGGACTTATAACTATATCTATTAATATGAATACTTTTCTTGTGACTATTCATCTTAAACATGACATATTGCATAAACGTCCAGAAAGATATGCTGTTAGTGATACAATTAAAGAAAAAATAAAGCAATATATCAATTTTACACCAAAGGATATATTTCGGCAACTTGAACAAGAAAATCCAGATTTAAACCAAAAACAAGTTCATGCATGGTGGGCTAATTTTATTAAACAGAAGTATATTCGTGATAAAAATAATCAATTGAAATCTGCAAAATTGCTCCTTGAAGAATATAACTATGAAATTATTTTAGTGAATATTGAAGGTGAAATAAATTACTTGGGATTTATAACACCCTTCTTTGAACTTTTGTCAACAAATAAGGAAATTGTTGTGGATGCAACATGTAAGTAAAAAAGATTTTTTTTTAATTTACTTATTTTAACTTTTCTTTATTTTATCAGATAAAACAAATGCTCTAGATTTTGAACTCTATTCAGTAATTGGGCAATCAGATGGTACTGGTTTTGCACTGGCTTATCTTTTATTAGATAGTATAAAAAAAAATGATGGTATACAAATGGAAATTCTTGTAGAATTTTTTAACCAATTGCAAATTAGAGGGTTAAATTATTTACAATTTTTTTTAACTGACAAGGATTTCGCTCAGATTACAGCTGCCCAATCAACCTGGAATAATATAAAAATACAATTATGTTTATGACATATCAAAAAAGCATTAAAAAAGAAGTTTTCAGATAATACATATCCAAAAACTACAACTTATAGTTCTTATGATGCTCACGAAACATTTGATTTTATTGATATTGAGTTTTATCCTGTAATATCTAATCAAAAAGAAAAAAATTTCATTTTTTGTCCAAAAGATCTTAGACCTAAAATTATTGAATTATTAGAAACTCATTTGCATCGACATCCACTTATTCCCAATTGTGCAGGAGAATTTCTATCAAAAGAAGATATATGGAAATTGTCAGTTCAGGAAATTTATGAATTTTGTTTTAAGTATGATTTACGATATGTGTGGGCTTATCTTTGGATCAACTGGTATCAAAAAAAAATGTGGATTCTATGGAGTCGTGCTGCTATTGAAGATCAAATTTGTATTTTTCGTACAACAATGTTAATGGAGTCCCACTGGAAAGTTATAAAACGGGATTTTTTACCAAAGTTTTTTCGTCCACGAATTGATCTTCTTATTTATATAATTATCAGCCGGTTGATCCCTCATCATCAGCAACAATATCAAAAATATTTAAATGAAAGAGAACACATATCTTGGAAAAAAGATTTTAAGAGAGAATGGAAAAAACTTGAAAATGTAAAAATCAATAATTTTTATTTAACAGATACTACAAGATGGATTTGCAGTTGTTTGTCATTTGCTCGTAATAGATTTTTCATTTGTAAACATCTTGTCCAACAATATGGTAGACCAGAATCATTTTATGATGTTCATCGTCAAGAAAGATATCCTTTCATATTCTTTAATACTATGGAAACCACTAGTGAATCAGATATTGTATTAATAGAGAATGATAATATTCAAAAAGGTAACATAATAGTAAATATATTAATAATAATCTCTGATAATATTAATGATATTATTTTTTTAATAATAGGTATTTTACAAGATGTTACGAATATTGAAGATGATNTTTTTCTAAAAATCGATCTTACCGATTTTGGAAATTAGTGTAACATTCGACCTAAAAAAGGAAATGATCGACACAAATCACGTGATTTGACCGGATGACCGGATTTACGTTTTTCACCGGAGCCTACCTCTAATTGTATTAATAGAGAATGATAATATTCAAAAAGGTAACATAATAGTAAATATATTAATAATAATCTCTGATAATATTAATAATATTATTTTTTTAATAATAGGTATTTTACAAGATGTTACGAATATTGAAGATGATGATAAAAATGAAACTGATAAAATATTTGATGAATATGAGGAATAGTTAAATGGTACATTAGAAATAATTCGTAAACAAAAGACTTTCGGTAATTATAGATGGGCCAAAGCAATAAGAAATAGTTTGGAGGGGGTTCATAAATTATATTCTGATGTAAAAACATATCAAAATCGCCATACCAATCCACGAACCTGGAAAGATTTTAAAATAAATATACTATCCCTATAAAAAGTATTTATATTTAAAATATAATTAAAAACTTTTTAAAATATATTTAAAATATACTTAAAATATATTTAATTTAAAAATTGCGAAATACTTATAATATACTTAAAATGTATTTAAAATCATCTTAAAATATATTTCTAATATATTTAATTTTTGCCCAAATACTTAAAATATACTTAAATTATATTTAAATTAAAATTTAAGTATATTATAGATATATTTTTTAAAATATTCTTATAATATATTTCATAATATATTTTAAGTATATTTTAAGTATGTAAAAAATATACTTATAATAATCTTATAATATACTTAAATTTTAATTTAAATATAATTTAAAGGATCATTTTAACGCTCACCGGAGGTTAAATTCACCGGAGGACTCTGGGAGGTGAATTTCACCATATCACGTGATATTTATTATTATATTAAAATTTTGCTAAGATCGGTAATTACGTAACTTCAAATTTTTATGTTTGAATAAAAACGTGTAAAAAAGTTTTTCTATTGACCATTTAGCATGAACTTATAAAGTTTTATTAACGAAAAGTTTCTTTTTAAATTACAAGAATATACATAACTTTAATTAAACTATTACACCCATCTACTAACCATTTAATCTAAGTTTTTTATTAATTTAAAACCTATAGTAATGCATAAGATATATAATCCTTTATAATTTAGTTAACAATTAATAATTTTATGACGGAAAAGAAATGAATATGTAAAAAAGGGATGAAGTGGATGATGAAATTAAAAAGACAATGTGAAAAATGAAATTGGAGTAAAGGGATGATGAAAAACAAAATGGGAGTGAAATGGGATGATGTAAATGAAATGAAATGACAAAAATGAAATGAAATGTTGCAAAACGAAATGGAGTGATGAAAAAAGATATGGAGATGATGGAAAATGATATGGAGAGATATGAAATGATGAAAACCGATATGGAGCGATATGGAATGATGAAAGATGACATGGAGCGATATGGAGTGATGAAAAATGATATGGAATGATATGGAGTGATATGGAGTGATATGGAGCGATATAGAATGATATGGAACGATATGGAGTAATGAAAAATGATATGGAACAATATGGAGCAATATGAAGTGATGAAAAATGATATGGAGCAATATGGAGTGATGAAAAATGATATGGAGCAATATGGAGCAATGAAAAATGATATGGGGCAATATGGAGTAATGAAAAATGATATGGAGTATATAGAATGATATGGAGCGATATGGCGTGATGAAAAACGATATGGAATGATATGGAGTGATGAAAAATGATATGAAGCAATCAGCAATATGGAGTGATGAAAAATGATATGGAGCGATATGGAGTGATGAAAAATGATATGGGAGCGAAAGGGATGATGATAAATGAAAAGGATAATTAAAAACAAAATGGGAGCAAAGGGAATGATAGAAAAATAAAATGGAGGCGAAGGGAATAATGAAATAATAAAAAACAAAAGGAGCAAAAAAAATAATAGCAAATAAATGAAAAGGGAGTGAAATGGATATAGAAAATGAAAAGGTAATAAAGTGATGATAGAAAATAAAAGAAACTGTTAGTATTATTTTCAATAAAGAAAACAATAAAATAGCAAAATACTAGCAATAAAAGTGAGTCTTACCTTAAACCTCTTAAAGTTATTTGAAATTGTTTTCTGAAAAACAAGTTAACAAGTTAGCATAAGAGAAAAAGAACATTAAACTAGCAAAGTAATAAGAAAATAAAAAAAATCTTACCTTAAAGAAGTTCCAGCCATTTTGGAAATAATACTACAAGAAAGCAAAAAACAAAATATGCGCTACGTGTTTGTGTAATATGAAATCACCTGGTGAATTTTACCGGGGTAAATTTAAAATTTTAATGCATTGCAGATCAAGGTGAAATTCACCGGAGGTGAATGTAAAATTAATCCTAATTTAAATATATTTTAAGTATATGGGTAAAAATTAAATATATTAGACATATATTTTAAGATAATTTTAAGTATATTTTAGATATATTAAAATATATTATAAGTATTTTGCAATTTTTAAATTAAGTATATTTTAAATATATTGTAAGTATATTTTAAGTATAATACTTTTTATAGGGTATATTTTTAGAATAAGCTGTTTTTTATTGTTTCTAATATGGTAATATTTTTATTATATATTTTATGTTGTTAAATACATAATATAAAAAAAGGAATATGTTTTTTTTCGCACCTGCGATATGTCGCATCTCCCTTTTTTGGTAATTTTCATATATTAATTATGTCGATCATTTTTATCACATGACTTCATTCAGATTTCCCATTTTTTAAAAAATCCTTGCGTGAGACCTTATGCACTTACTATGTACTATAAGAAACCTTATACTATACGTATTTTTGACCGTTCTACAAGTTTTCTTAATATATCAAAAAGGATTTAGAATGTCATTTTTGACTTTTATATGTAACATATTATAGGGATACGACATAACGCAGGTGCGATAAAAAACAAAACCCATAAAAAAAACCATAATATACGCGTATACATACCTTTTGAATCTTCAAATTTTAACTTTTAAGATGGGTTATATTTTTTTTAACGTGTTATATTTTGTGAAAAAAAAAAGATGATTGATATGATCGATATACAGTATAATTATTTGTTTATCCAATTAATGATAAGAGTATATGCCACATATGTGCCACAATATCACGTGATCGAAGAATTTTTCTGGGTGCTGTTGGGGTAGTTGGATCAGAGGAGAGTGTCACAAGAACAGTATATGTAAAAGATAAGATAATACGATTAATGAAGAAGGTAAACTAAGGGAAATAATTTAATATTTTTTCTTTTATTTATGTGTATTATTGTTTGAATTTATAGTGTAGTTTAAAAGGTTAATAAATTAGTTAGATTAATAGTTTTAAATTAAACTTAGGCAAAATCCACAAAAAGTAGGGAATTAAAATAAAAAAAAATAAAATAAAAATGAAATTTACAATTAAGTTGCGAAGTTGTTGCTGCAGTATATTTATTATTTTAAAAAATTTTTTCAAAATTAAGCATCTTTAATTTACAATTATAAGTTGCCGCAAAAGCTTATATTAGAGGTCTGCATTTGCTCATATTTTAAAACCCGACCTGGTCCAGAAATAATATATGAATATATATACCAGCCCAGGCCAGCCCAGGCCTTAAATATATATTTTATGCCAACCCGGTTTGGCCTGGATTCATAATATCAAAACCTGGCCCAACCTGGAATTCTTATAATTATTTAGTATATAAATGTAAATTATTTTAGTATAGTGATTTTGGCAAATCAAAATAAATTTATATGTAGATCATTTTTGTGTAGTAATTTTTGGCAAATCAAGAAATTCAATAATAATATTTATTTATATAAACAGTTGAAACAAAATTCACTAATTATTTGAAAATGTTGATATTTAATATAATAAAAATTGTGAATATTAATAATATATAATAAAAATTTTGAAGTATAACGTGAAAATATAATGTAGATCACAATTATAAATTTTGTGTCACAGCAATTTGATAATTTTAAACAACGCGAAAACTTAATGATTTGAAATAACAGATAATATATTTATTTATAAATAAAAATTTTGTATAGTAATTTACTATTTCTTTTTAAAAAAAATAATTTTATTATAAATAATTTAATAAATAAAAATTTATTTATTTTTTTTTAGCAAATCAACCATTATTTTTGTTGATCGTAGTTCATATTATGATGCGCGTTTTTATTTTTTTTTTATTAAAATTAAAATAAACAATAAGAATTTAAAAGAAACAAACTAATTTCACAATTATAATTCAATAATAATAAAAAACAAAATAAAATTTTATTTATTTATTTATTTATTCTATTTATTTAAAAAAAATAATGAAATTGTAGCATAACATTTAAATTTTTTTAAAAAACAATACAAGTGAAAAGTTATATTAGAAAAATTTGTTAACTATAATATACTATAATACACTAAAAAGGAAATAAATTATATAAAATTAAATCAAAAAACTTAAATTTAAATTTCAACCAGAATCAACAAAATTTTGGCCAGAATTAATAAAATTCTGGGTTGAGAATCTAAACCCAGACCCAGCCTGGAAAATTTATGAAAATCAAATGCCGGCCTAGACCCGGTCCAGGTGAATTTTGAAGGAAAATTTGCCAGCCCAAACCTGGATCCGAGTCTGGGCTGGGTTCAGATTTTTAGGTTGCAGGTCCCATTTGCAGACCTCTAGCTTATATAGTATATTCCTATAAAAAGTCTACATCCTTAAACTGTACTAGTTTTATGGTTAAAATATCCTTATATAGTAAATAATATTCTTACAATATACTGAAATTTGTATGAACAGTATATTTAAAATAGTGTTTTATAATAATAAATAAGTTTAATTCGTGATCCGTTTCTGAACCAGTGAAAACTACTAATAAATTTCGGGGAACTGGTTTTACAAATTAATTATAACTTAAATGGCTTTTGAGTTGATTTTCCCAGAATTTTTTTTTTTTAAGTGTTATATAATAATGTTCTGGGTATATTGAATGATAAATTTGCATCGTCAAATATTAATATCACAAGTTTGATCAACATATACTTGCCATTTAAGGCTACGTTGTTATACAAATTGGCGATATTGCCTAAAAAGTAACCAGCCAAATTTGTATTACAACCCGGCTGAAAAATAGTGTAACCAATTGCTTAAAATCGAGGGAATCAGGATCCATCAAAAATTTTTACATTGAACGATTAGTTAAAAATTTTTTCTTTAGCGACGCTGGATTCC